CTGATGTACCTGGACATGGTAAGGACCCAGAAACTAACTGCAGGCACATGCCTTCACTACGCTGGTCCTCAGCTTCCCCTTTTGTACCTGGGGACAAATGGTGTCTCCCTTTCCCTCCCTGGGGGAACCACTGGAGATGACACATTGAAAACTTGTTGCGGCCACTACTGCAGTGCAGCAGGTTAAGCCTCTGCAGTGCCGGCATCTCATATGGGCGCCAGTTCAAATCCCAGCTGCTCCACCTCTAATCTAGCTCCCTGCTAATGTGCCAGGGAAGGCAGTGGAGGATGGCCCAAGTGCTTGGGCCCCTGCACCCACATGGGAGATGTGGATGAAGCTCCTGGCTCCTGACTTTGACCTGGCCCAGCTCTGGGCATTGTGGCCATTTGGAGAGTGAACCAGAAGACAGAAGATCTCTCTCTCTCTCTCTCTCTCTCTCTCTCTCTCTGCACCTGTCCCTTTCCATCTGTAACACTGCTTTTTGAATCAATACGTTAATCTTTCTATAAAAGAAAGCCTGTTGCAGGGCGCTCAGGTCTTGTTTTGAATCCAGGAGTGCCTGCATTGCAGAACATTGCACATCTGGAAGAGGCATTGTTTTGTTGGCTTTGGGAAAGAAAGAAAACAATCGGCTGTAGCAGAGCCATTCTCAGAAGTTTCCTGAGTGCTGGTTCGTGGTTCTGTGGGAAGCAGGAAGAAATGGTGATAGGAGGTGGAATAAAGCCAGATCATGGCCGAGGGTGCTGGGGTGAGTGCCGATGGCTGCTGAGGTGGAGGTGTGAGGCTGGGGCCACTGGTGGCCGGAGTCCTGGTGTGAGGGACGCAGGAAGCCGGCTGGCAAGTTCCAACTGAGGCTTAGCTGATTCGAAGGACAGCAGGCTGGCAGGAGGGGGCCCACTGTCAGTCACTCCCCAGTGCCGAGGAGGGGTGGGAGCCCAGACTGAGGCCTTGTGCCTTTGCGACTGTCCCCTCACAGGACTGACCAGTGTGTCCACAGCTCTCGGTCAGCAGGGAGAAAGGACAGCTGTGTATGAATTCTTGTGCCGTTGGGGATTTACAGAAAAAGGGGAAACATGGGTTCAACTGAAGGGCAAAAACAGAAAACACAGCCGAAGGGAAAGGGGTGAACTGCGAATGGGAAATTTAGAAATGGCAGAGTTCGTTTTAGTTAGGAAATTCAAAGTTAAAGCAAGTTTAATTTTTTTAATCACATATTTTCATTTTATTTGAAAGGCAGAGAGACAAAAAGAGATCTTCTATGCACTGGTTTATTCTTCCAATGCCTGCCACAGCTGGAGCTGGGCCAAGTAGAAGCCAGGAGCCAGGAACTCAATCCAGGTGTCCAATGTGGTGGCAGGGACTCAAGTACCTAAGCCGTCACCTGCTGCCTCCCATGGTGTGCATTAGTGGGAAGCTGGAATTGGGAGTGGGGCTGGGGCTTGAACCCAGGTACACCGATACGGATGTGGGCATCCCAAGAGGTGTCTTAACTGCCAGGCCGAACACCTGCCCCTAAGCCAGTTAATGATGTGCTTCTGTTCATTTAAAGCAACACATACTGCCACAGCCTTGCACACCACCTTCCAGGTTCCTCAGCTCTCTTGCAGGAATTGATAACTTTTACCAGGCAGAACCTGGGAGGGGTGTCCGTGAGCACCCCCTGCAGGCAGAGCTGTACAGATGGCACCCCCTGTCCTGGGCCTGGCCCCTGAGCCCAGAAACTCCAGCCTTTATTGGGGTGGGAGTGGTGCCTGCAGGCTGGGGCCCAGGTGCCAGTGAGGACAGTCAGTCTAAGCCTGGGTTGTCCAGAGTTCCTGCAGTCTTAAACTTTCCAGCGTGGGAAGGATTCCAGGCCCCTGAAGTCAAGAGCCAGGAGCCCCAAGTAAATTTGATATCTTTCTTATACCTGGGGGAAGAATTTCTAAATGCACAATTTCACTTATCAAAACATATCCCGAATCAGATCATGCATGCCAGTTTTACCTTCAGCCAATGAGACCTTTTGTTCAATAAATATTTATATGCTCTACTTAGGGACCCTTGCTGCTCATCACGGGGCAGCAGGAACGATAAAGCTCCTCAGGGCCAGCCTGGGGAGCTCGGGGGCCGAGCGGGATGATGAGTGTCGGCGGCAAAGGAACCACACCAGAGCCGGGAGATCAGTCAACACCCAGGGCGCAGCCGGGTCCTCTACTTTATTGGGAGGGGAAGAGCTTTTATAGACACAGAAAGGGGGCTGTCCAGGGCACAAGGGAACCGAGCCAACCAGCTGAAAGGTAAGGCAGGACAGGAGCCGGGCACGCCCTCAAGGGTTTATCACAGCTGAGGGCACACACTGTCCACGAATACGTAAGTCTCCTGTCAGGCTAGGTACCTCCCCCGGGGGCCATCTTGGATTGTTGGAAACGCTGTCACTGAGATGCGGAAGTGCGGCAAACTCGAGCAAAGGCTTAGAGGCCTTGTCAAGGGAAGGCTTAGCAACTTTGTTTCCTTTCCGGTTAGAGCTCCCCCCCCCCCCCCACCAGACCCTCTTGTCCAGTGGGCTCCTGCCAATCAGGGCACAGCGTGGGGGAAGAGGCTGCCCCCAGCCTGCTCCTTCCTTGCTTCTCCACCCTGAAGCTGTGCTGTAGACTTGTCTGCCGAGGAGAGAAGAGAAGCATCTGTTGCCCTGACCCAGGCCAGGGAGATTAAGGAAAGATTGGGGTTACCCCTTCCCCACCCCGGCAGTAAGGTGTATGAAGCCCTGAGCGGGTGCTGGGTGCAGGACGTGGCTCTGTTAGTGGCCAGTGCTGGCAGCAGTGGCGCTGCTCGGGCACAAAGCTACTCAGAGGCGAGGCATCACTGCGTTCTCCATCTCTGACTCCTGGGCTGTGGTGCCGCTTGCCCCGGGGGTGCGTTCCTGGCCCTGACACTGCAAGGTGGTGATAGAAGGCAGGCCCTTGAGCTCTGTCTGGTTCCTGTGGTGCACGTGCCGCTGCCTCCTAGGTCGTAGGGAGGACACCGTGCCCCAGCCAGAGGCCCGAGTTGGATCCCGGGGCTGCTGTCCTGCCCCCTGCCTCCTGTGACAAGTCACCAACTCTCCCAGTGCCTGCTTTGCTCCTCCGGAAAGTGGCAGAAGTGGGGTTGTTTGTGAGGGTTAGAGAAAAGCGCCGAGCACAGGATCCCCATGTGGGGCATCTCAGCAGCGGCTTGCAGGGTCGTCCTCACAGTTGTCATCTGACCGTGGGCACTGAGGAGCTGGGGTGACGCACAGAGGAAAGGCCGGCTTCACGGAAGGTGCAGACGGCCAGAGGTGAGCACTGGGCAGTGGCTGAGATGCAGGCTGGGGAGGCCAGCGTAGTGGGGCAGTGGGTTAAACAGCTGCCTGTGTCGGCAGCATCCCCTATGGGCGCTGGTTCGTGTTCTGGCTGCTCCACTTCTGATCCAGCCCCCTGCTAATGTCCTGGGAAAAGCAGCGGAGGATGGCTCAAGTGTTTGGGCCCCTGCCACTCACATGGGAGACCCAGATGAAGCTCCTGGCTCTTGGATTTGGCCTGGACCAGCCCTGGCCATGGAGACCATCTAGGGAATGAACCAGTGGATGGAACATCTCTCTCTCTCTCTGTCTCTCCCTGTATGTGTGTAACTCTGACTTTTGAATAAAATAAAATCTTTAAAAAGAACCACAGGTGAGTATTTGGTGTAGTGGTTAAGATGCTGGTTGCGAGGCCCACACCCACTATCAGAGTTCTCACTCTGCTGCTGCAGAAACAGCTCTCCGCTACTGTGTGCCCTGGGGAGGCAACAGATGATGGCTCAAGTACTTGAGTCCCTTCCATCCACATGGGAGACCCAGGTTGAATTCTGGGCTCCTGGCTTCAACCTGGCCCACTCCAGCTGCAGAGGGGGAGTTGGAGAGTGAACTAGTGGGAGGAAGACCTCTTTTTTCTTTGTCTCTCTGCCTTTCCAATAAAATGAAAATTTAAAAAACAATTCCATCATCAGTGGGTAGGTAGAGGGAAAGATAGGAGGACAGGTGTGTGATAAAGCAAACGCTGCTGTGTGCTCCCTGCAGAATCTGGGTGTGGAGGACATGGGTGTTCACCCTCACGGTTCATTGAGCTTTTCTGTGTAGTTGGTAACATTCAGAGTAAAACACTGAGCTGGAGGAACTCCATCAAGCTGAGGGTCTTCAGCGGTCACAAGCCAAATCTCCAGTAAAAGAGGACAGGCAGCCCCCCAGAAGCTGTGTGTACCTGAGAAGAGTGTGTGTGTCCATGTGTCCATGTGTCGGTGGCAGTGTCAGTGAGGTGTGGGACAGCGGGCCAGGGAAGGGAGGGGCTCCGTGAAGAAGCACCACTCTTACCTGCATTCTGTGTTTCTTCATTCTCAAATACGTTTGCAGTAACTTGGAAAAATAAAAATACTGGCCGGCGCCGCGGCTCACTAGGCTAATCCTCCGCCTTGTGGCGCCGGCACACCGGGTTCTAGTCCTGGTCAGGGCGCCGGATTCTGTCCCGGTTGCCCCTCTTCCAGGCCAGCTCTCTGCTGTGGCCAGGGAGTGCAGTGGAGGATGGCCCAGGTGCTTGGGCCCTGCACCCCATGGGAGACCAGGAGAAGCACCTGGCTCCTGGCTCCTGCCATCGGATCAGCGCGGTGCGCCGGCCGCAGCGTGCCGGCCGCGGCGGCCATTGGAGGGTGAACCAACGGCAAAGGAAGACCTTTCTCTCTGTCTCTCTCTCTCACTGTCCACTCTGCCTGTCAAAAAAATAAAAATAAAAAAAAATTAAAAATTAAAAATAAAAATACTTAGATGTCAACAGGACACAAATGCATGAAAGATCCGGGCCAGAGTTCACATACACAATGTATGTCGTGAAGTTTTGAACACAAACTGAAGAAGCAGGACAAACTTACCTTGGTTTCTAGACCTTGGCAGGTAATAGGCTGTTTACAGAAATATTAAAGGTGCTAGCTCCTATTCTTACCTTCTTTTCTCTTTCCCTCCTCCTTGTCCCTAGTGTGTATTCTTCCAGCTACCACGCAGTGAAGAGGGAACCAGAAGGTGCCCCTGGTGATCTCACTAGCTTGGAAAACGAGAGGCAGATTTATAAAAGTGTCTTGGAAGGTGGCGACATCCCTCTTCAGGGCCTGAGTGGGCTCAAGCGACCGTCCAGCTCGGCGTCCACGAAAGGTAGTTACTGGGGAGAAGCCCGCAGGCCTCTCTGTCCCATGTGTACCGGACGGTACCTGAGTGCCGGCAGTCGGTGAACCCCAGCCACTGTGAACTCTGCCTTGTTCGGATCTGGACCCGTATCCGAGCCCTGGAGCCCTGTAACGCCCCCTGCCCGATTTTCTCACCGGCCATTTTTCTTTCTGGTATTAGTAGTTTCCCTTCCCTTGACCCCCGACCTTGCTCTCTCTGAAGCATCTCTCCTCTCTCTCTCCTCTCTCTCTCGTTCTGATTCCTTTTTCTTAGGAACTAGCTGAGCTTCAGCCTTTCCTAACAAGCAAGGTGGCCATTTTTTCTGTTGCGTCTTTGCACCTGCTTTGCAGCACAGATTATTTTGCTTCCGGACATCAACTGGGAATTTTTTATAAAGTCCTTATGACCAATGAGCATGTGACCTCTCCCTTTTTTTTTTTTTTTCCTTTTTTCTTTTGGTAGCAGCTTTCAGCTTTAACCTAATGGGTCTGTTTATTTTATTCTGCATGCTTACCAGTGGATCGTAAAGGTGGGAATGCTCACATGATTTCTTCATCTTCAGTTCATAGCCGAACGGTTAACACTAGCAGTGTCTTAGGTCCCGTGTGTAAACACAAGAAACCCCTGTCAGCTGCGAAAGCCTGCATCTCCGAGATCCTTCCTTCCAAGTTCAAGCCCAGGCTGTCTGCGCCCAGCGCCCTTCTGCAGGAGCAGAAGAGTGTGCTACTGGCCTCAGAGAAGGCCCAGAGCTGCGAGAACCTCTGTGTTTCGGGGTCTCTGATGGACTCCAGAAGAGGGCTCCCGCTCCAGGCCGGGGGGAGCATCGAGAACCTGCTCATGCGTTCGAGGCCCGAGGATGGCAGCAGGTCGGGCAGCACCATGAGCCTGCAGGAGTACAGCAGCAGCTGCAGGAGGCCCTGCCCCCTCTCCAGGAAGGCTGGCATGCAGTTCTCCTTGCTGTACCGGGACATGCACCAGATCAACCGAGCTGGCCTCTCCCTGGGCTCCGTCTCATCGTCGAGCGTGAGAGACCTCGCCTCGCACTTTGAACGGAGCAACCTGGCGCTGTCCAGGGGCGAGCTGGGCTCCAGCCAAGAGGGCTCCGAGCACATTCCCAAGCACACCGTCTCCTCTCGTATCACTGCCTTTGAGCAGCTGATCCAGCGGTCCCGGTCCATGCCCTCCCTCGACTTGTCCGGCAGGCTGAGCAAGTCCCCCACGCCTGTGCTGGCCCGGAGCTGCCTCACCTCCGCCCGCTCTGCTGAGTCCCTCCTAGAGTCCACCAAGCTCCGTCCCAGGGCCGTGGACGGGGCGCCCGCCGGCGGACTCTACGCCTCCCCTACCTGCAGCAATATGGCGGACCACAGCTTGGGCTTCAGGGGCCTCGCGCCTTCCGAGCCCCTCTCCGCCTGCTCCGATGAGCTCGACCACTGCTCCAACATCTCCAGTGACAGCAGGGAGGGCAGCGGCGGCAGCGTTTACGGAGATTTCCCCAGACACCGCCTCAATAAGTGCAAGGGCACCTGCCCTGCCTCCTACACCCGCTTCACCACCATCCGGAAGCACGAGCAGCAGCAGCCGCCCCCCAGGCAGCCCGAGTGGCGCCTGGATTCCAGAGGGGACAAGAGCACTCTCCTCAGGAACATCTACCTGATGAGCCCCCTCCCTTTCCGGTTGAAAAAGCCCCTCCAGCACCACCCCAGGCAGCCTCACCCTGCTGACTCCTCGGGCCTCCCCAGTCAGCCCCGGCAGGACCAGGCCCCCGCGGGCGGGAAGCCCTCGGTCCCCGCACGCCTGTCTTCCCACCACACCATGGCCAGGCTGAGCCGCAGCTCAGAGCCCGCTCAGGAGAGACCCACAGCCCCCGAGGACGGCCCCGGGGCTTTTCATAACGGGAACCCCGTGCCGTACTCTGACCACGGCCTGGACGGGAACAACAACCCGCAAAGCGAACGGGCAGCGGCGCGCGGAGGTGGCGTTTTGCGTGTCTGACAAGTCTCTCCTCCCCCATCCCTCCACTTTGCCTGCTTGCCCCCTTCCTCCCTGTCATGCCCTTGGTGATCATTTCTGGTCTGTCCTTTGTTTTCCGTTTGTTTTGCTTGGCAATTAATCATGGCTCGTAGTGGCTGCACTTCTTCAAAACCAATGCCCCCACATCATTCAGACTAATCACCAAACCGTGTCTCGAAAGAAAAATTGGCCGTTTAGCTCATTTGAGAAATTTGTTCATTTGAACCCCCAGCCCCTTTGCTGTCTGCACCGGTCCCCAACTCACCTATGGTTTTTTGAGAGGCAGCCTCTCTCGGTGGCCTGTGTGTGTGTGTGTGTGTGCGTGCAGGTGTCCCCAGAAGAGCCTGCACGCCTCTTTGGGGGGGACACTTTGCCAAGAAAGTGTTCACTTTTTGCTCACTTCTGTCTTTCTTGTTAGTTCTCTCTGTATTAAACGAGCTCACGTCAGCCCAAGGAAACAAGAGGGGCAGATGTGGGTTGGTTTTGCCCATTCCGGAACTGCCTATTGAGCCTTATTCAACATTGACTGTAAAAGCTTGATATTTATAGTAGAGAAAAGGCGAAATCTCCCCGGCTGGCTTCCCACTAAATCTGTGCCTGTTTTAACTCTTCCTTTGTTGTCTTGAAGATTCAGAATCGCCACGGCACTTTATCCCAGCCGATTACCTGGAATCCACGGAAGAATTCATCCGCAGACGTCATGATGATAAGGAGGTGAGTCTCCGAGCTCTGTGTAGAAGCCTGCAGGAGGCTGGAGGTAGCACAGGCATCTGTGGGAGACGTGAGCTGCTCCCGGGGCCGGAAGCAGACACGGGAGCTTTCCCAGGTGACTTTTTATATGATGCAGACTCCGACATTTCTCTCTCAGTCTTCCAGAGAAGGGCAGGAGGTTTTATGTGCTGAGCCCAGCCGGCCCTGGAGCACAGGAGGTACAGTGGGAGGCTGCCCACCACCGCGTTCAGTGCCCTGTAGAGGGAAACCAGCATTTGTGCTCCATCCCTCCTCTCAGCTGCCCCCGCTGGGGTGTGCTCCAGGGCAGTCTGCCCTGTATCGTCCACCCCTGTGTTGGCACTGAGCAGAGTCCACATCGGGAAGAGTGCTGTAGCAGAGAGTAGACTGAAAAACCGTAATGAGCTTGGTACATTTGGTAAAAGAGTTCAGGCAGACCCCAGTGGAGAACGTCAGGATGGAGTTTTGCCCTGCAGCCACGGAAGGCTGTGACCTGCAGTGAGTGATAGGCCTGGCAGAGTCTGGCCAAGAGCCGGTTCACCGGGGGATTTAGGAGGTAGTAGTTCTGTCTGAGCAGCCCAATGGGGGAAATCGCAGGTTTCTGCTGGGATAGAGCATTCTTAGGTGCTTCCTGGGTCTCATCTTCCCAAGGAAGAGGGTCCAGTAGAGGAAGCAAGCTCCCATGCCTGCTCCATTGTAACGAATTGAGAGCTGGAAGGACTGCTGGAAACAGGCGGCGCTGGGGGAGGCCATTCCCAGGTGCACATCTCTGTGCTGTTCCCTCGAAGGTCTGAGCCCTTTGTGTTATGTCGCCCATCTTGGCCCGTCCTGCTGAGTGGTTTCAGAGTTGAGGTGGTGTCTCCGTAACGATTTAGGGTATGGCTGACTTTGAGAACTGGATGATGATAAGCGTTACTTCCAGATGGTGAGACAGACAGAAAACAAAAAGACATGCCTGTACCTCCCCTTGCGTCCAGGTGTAGGCAGACGGTGTTCAACAGGACTCCGCACCTGTGTGGGGAAAGAAGCAAGAGGAAGTATTTGATGTATAGAATCATTTGTAGTAACGAGATCCAGAACTCTAGTGACTCATGTCAGTCAGGCCACAGAGCAGGCTCCTTTCTGTAGCTCTTTGTTAAGTGCGTCCCGCCCCAGGACCCCAGGCCTGGGTGCTCTCGTGAAGAAAGGTGGCATCCCAATGTAGTGATACCAGCGCTGAGTGGTGGAATGCTCACCTGCCGCGCATGGGGCACGTTTTACTTGCTGGGTTTCAGCATCGATATAAAAATTGCACATAGAAGGTGAGAGTCTTGTTTCCTGAGTGATCCCAGCCCAGTGATCCTGAAACAGTTTGTGGGTTTTTTTTTTTTTTTTAATCCCTGATTTACGGCTTATATGGTTACACTGTGGGCCTGCTGGGTTTTACAGAGTCAGACCCAAGCACAGCTCTGGGGAGTTTGCTCCATGCCCTGTCCACTTCATTGATGATATTCAGCCTTGGCCAGGGCCCTGGGAATTTTGAGCATGGACAGGTAGCAGCGGTGAACATAGGTCCTTTCCCCTTCCCTCTGAGACAAGTCACACTTCCCAGCAGATGGGGGATCAGTTCAGCCCCTGTTTAACACTGATGGTAACAGCATTTCAGAAAATGAGAACATGTCTCTCCTGGGAGGATGGGGAGGGGGCATTAGCGTTCATCTAGCCAACCCCCTGCCCTTACATAAGGAAGGACCATAGGGAGTGGCTTACCTGGAGCTACCTTGCAGGTGAACTTAGACCAGAGGCAGAGCTGGAAACCAGGGCTCTATTCCTGGGCCAGTGCTCTGTGCGTGGCACTGTGCTTTGCGTAGTGCCTTCTCATGTCTTCCCTCAATGCATCTTTACAACAGTTTACTGAGCCCTGGAAACCCCACAGCTGTTTGATGAATTGTTACTTGTAGACCCTAGAGTAAAATGGGCGCTAGATGTTACACAAGGCACTTAATTGCCTGTTGCTTTACTGAGCATAAAACATTATCATTATTTACTGAGCTAAGCAGTATCAGTTCTAATTAAGGTTTTCCTACAAGAAATGTGAACCCCAGGAATGTAAGATTACTCTGACATGAGGCGACACATTAAAATTCTGTTCTATGGAGTCATTTAAACAGACAATGAGGGCATTTGGTAAAATGCAGTGTTGTTTATTTTTTAAAAAACTTATTTATTTGAAACTCAAAGTTACAGAGAGAGAGAGAGAGATCAATTGATCTTCCATCTACTGATGCACTCCCCAGATGGCTGCAGTGGCCAGGTCTGGGCCAGACCAAAGCCAGAAGCCAGGAGCTTTATCTGGATCTCTCACATGGGTGCCTGGGCCATCCTTGGGTGCTTTTCCAGGCACATTAGCAGGGAGCTGGACCAGAAGTGGAGCAGCTGGGACTGGAACTAGTGCCCTTATGGGATACCAGTACTGCAAGTGGTGGATTAACCTGCTACACCACAATGCCTACCCCAACATTGTTTATCTTAAAAAGCCTTTTAAGTGACTATTTTCTTAATAGAGAGGAGACTGTTTCTTTGTTCTTAGCTTATCTTCTATATTTATATTCTACATCATTTTCATAAACTCAGCTTCATTTCTTCAAATATGGAAACGGCTCAGTAAGAGTGTTTGGTGCTCTGTGTCAGCCACGTGGATAGCCTTTAGTACATATCCTAAGGCCACCTAAAAATTATGCTTGGGGGAAGGGTGAGCTGGCCGAGGAGACAGGTCTGTATTTTCTAGGATGGGCAGCTCCATTCTATGGAGAGCATATTAGAGTAACAGAAGCAACACAGAAATGACCTGGTGATTGCAGACCAAGGAGAGTTAAAAGCCCTCACCAGGTTTGATGGGTCTGATGGGCCTGATGGGGGAGGGATGGGTTGCAGAAGATTCCGCCATCCCTGGTCCTGCCATGGGCATGCACTCAGTGAGGTAAGGGTAGCACTTCCAGCCTCCTGCTGCCAGCCCAGCGTGCTTGGGAATGCCCTGGACATGCTCCCAGGGTCACCTGACCTCTGCTGCCAGGAGACAGGGGGCTCAGGCTGAGCTGGGGGTTGGTGGTCAGCAGGGCGGAATCATCCTTCCTTGTGTCCTGGCTTCCCCCCAGCGCAGCGCTGCCTGCTGCCTCCCGAGTGGGCGGGTGGGGCGACTCCTGACCCGCACAGTCTCCCTGCTGTTCTCCCAGCTCCTCCTTCCTGAGTTGCTTTTGTTGGCAGTTTTCCAAGACCCTGGACCAGATGATTCACTGCCCATTTTATGCGATTCCATGGCAGAAACTTTTAGCGGACCAGCGACGACTTAAACGTGAGCAAGAAGAGGCCGATATCGCAGCGCGCCGCCACACGGGCGTCATCCCCACGCACCACCAGTTTATCACTAATGAGCGCTTTGGGGATCTCCTCAATATAGACGATACTGCAAAGCGGAAATCTGGGTCAGAGGTCTGTTTTGGTCACCTCGATCTGCTGCTTGACCCAAAGCAATGATTTGCCTCCCTGCAGCATTGCCCTCTGTAGGCCAATCTAGTCTTCCAGATGCCACCTCTCTGGCTGGCTTCCCTTAGGCTTGCTTTGGCTCTTTCGTGGCTGGTGAATGGACATGAGCCCCATTGTGTCCCGTGCTCTGTATGTTCAAGCATGCCTGGCTGTGGGACCGGGATCTGCTGGCGCACACCCCTAATGCATGCCTTAGAGCATCGGCTGCCTTCATGAATCCAGTCCTCCTCACCCTGCATTTTATCATGATACTGCGTTGCCTGTGCATTCTGCTTGGAACCGTAGACCTTGGTCCATGTGCCGTGGTAGCCATAGGGTGGACAATTCTCAGGTTCCTCCTTGAAGAGATGACTAACGAAGCATATTACAAAAGTCAGCTAGCAGTACTTTATGCCTTTTACAAGGGCCCCCAAATTGAATGACATTACTGAAATAACAGAGAACAATACACAGGTGCAGGAGTCAGCACTACCAATTAATGCTGCCGCACCTCACTGAGGAATGTTGAAATGCAAAGACTTTTGCAGTTAGGGTAAGGCAAGATCTCCAAGAGAGAGTTCATTTGTTCTCTTAATTTTTGCATTTCGAAGCTTAGAATTTTGAAAGCTTGATATTACAAAAGAAATGAACAAACTTTGAAAGTGATTTTATCCAGGTTGCAGCCTCCCACGCAAATGCTACCTATTGCATAAGAATTTATGATTTGCCGTGTAACCCTATGTAGCCTTGCTGAAGAAAATTTCCTTGTCCTCAAAAGTGTGAGGGGGGCTCAGGATGGGGGGTTGAGAGGGTAGAGTGGCTCCTAAAATATATATAGTTTTAGAAGCTTCCCATGCAGTAGGTTAATATTCAGGTCTATTTTGAGTGATAGGCATCACTGGCTGCTCATTTGTTCTTTTAAGAAATAGCATCTGGGAAGAAGAGATTAAAAAAAAAGAGCCAGATTAAAAGAAAGATAGAGAAGAAGGAAATGAAGGTGTGATGGGGAAGAAGCAAAAGTTAGTGAGTGCTACACAAGGGAAGGGCACCCCCTGGTGCTCAGCATCCCAACTGCCCCCTAAAACCATTCTGTCAGGGCTCTGAGATAGCTCCCCCTTATTTGCAGGCTCACCTGCTCTTGGGGGATGCAGGAGAAGGGAGCATGCAGGACACCCTAGCGATACCTGCCAAAGACGGTGCAGCTGGTGCGGAGTAACCATGGACAGAGGCAGACCTGGCACCCTTCTCGCACAGTGGTTCTCAGTTTTTGAGTATGCATCGCAGTCTCCTGGAAGGCTTGTTAAAATACAGATTCCTGGGCCCCATCTGCAAAGTTTCTGATTTGAGGATGGGGCCCAAGAATCTGCATTTCTGACATGTTCCCAGGTGATGTTGGTATTTTGAGAATCCCTGCTCTAGTAGTTGATGGGCTTGACAAAGTAAGGCCCGGTAAGGCCCAGGTACACCATGCTCTGTGGATATACTCAAGTGCCATTCAGCAGAACCTGGGTGACCACTGAGCCTGTGTGAGACCCTGTGGGCAGCAGGGTCCTTGCCCTTGGGAGCTGATAACGGAAGAGTCTCCCTCCATGCAGTTCTTTCCATCTGTGGGAAGTAGCACAATAGTGTGAGAGCCAGAGAAATGGAAATTGGGTTTGGTCTTCGGAGCCATGGGAAGATAAAGAGGGAGATACTGCTGCTCAGCTCCTAGCCACCAATGACTGACAAAGGCGTCTGACTCAAAAGCTCAGTGGAATCAGTGTTCTCAGCTTTGAGTAATGCGGGGATCCCTCTAATGAAATAAACAAAGCCCTCATCAGCCTCTGGTGTTGACCTAAGCTAATTTACAAATTAAATAGAAAACCACACACCTATACAACTGTATTAATTTAATTGATAGATAATAATGGCTTTCAGAATTCAGTTACCATTCAAAGTATGAATGTGATGCTGCCTAGGTATAACTTTCTCCTGTAAGATTTATTTATTTGAATGGCAGAGTAATAGAGAAAAAGAGAGAGAGAGAAAGAAATCTTCCATGTGCTAATCTCCAATGACCACAACAGCCAGGGCTGGGCCAGGCCAAAGCCGGGAGCTCCATCCATCCATGTTGGTGGCAGGGGCCCAAGCACTTGGGCCATCCTCTGCTGCTTTCCCAGGCACATTAGCCGGCAGCTAAGTCAGAAGCAGAGTTGCCAGCACTCAAACCAGCGCCCTGATATGGGACATCAGCGTTGCAGGCAACAGCTTTGCTCAGCTACGCCACAGTGCTGGTGTAAATGTTTTGTAAAGTTTTTAAGGTTAATGCAGCTCTACAATTGGGTGACATGGGGTGAGCTGCTTCTTCCTCCAATTATTCAGTTGGAGTCACTGGGAAACTTTTTGTCCTTACAATTCGGATCATTTGGCTTTCTCAGGAACTTTTGTTTCCCCCTCTCAGGAACTTTTTACTTCCCATCCATTCTTTTCTTGTTCGTGTACAGCTGTGAAATCCTGCTCTTTGGTGCAGATACAGACACAGGCGTTGAAGTTGTGTGGCGTTAGTACAGGGTGGTCATTCAGGGCCCTGATACATATGTGTATAGACAGGTAGCTGCAGCATCAAAATGTGAAATGTAAATATTCCTGTGGAGTTTTGTTGACTCCTGAGGACCCCTGCAAGACCCTGCCTTGAGGAGCCAGAAACATGAGTCACCAAGGGATGCAGATTTAAAACTGAACTTGACACAGCCTTTAAACACCATTTTGTGATCACCTGCAGTGTTCCATTGCCCCCACCCTCCAGTGTTGGGGAGAGCATGCTGTTTTCCCAGACCAGAAGGTCATGGCCGCTGAGAAACTCCTGGAAGGGAGCAGGATTATACCAACGCCAGAAACAGCTTATTGTGCCCCCACCCACCCACCTTCCTTTGACAATTTGGTTTAAGTAGCTGTTGTTAAAGGTGGGGCAGAAAGATAAGCAAATAAATGTAAGTCAGGGTGAACTTCTTGCTAGAATTGGAGCTGAAGGAATTGCAGAGAAAGGGGTTTAGCAACGTGTAGCTGATAGGTTGGCGTGACTGAACAGGAAGGGTGTCAGACAAAGGCAGGCAGGTAAGTGTGTGGAGAAAAGTGCTGGAGGCCTCGATCCCTGTCAGGAATTGAGATTTGATCCAGGGGGGCAGCCAACATAAGCAAGGAAGTGATATGAGGAAGAATTCTAAGAATGTGATTTGGGCTCCTGTGTGACCGAAGATTAGTGTGAAGAAAAGTGAAGTCAGATTAAGCTTTGTGCCTGTAGGAACCAGAGGTCAGGGCTGCGAAGCGAGGGCCTTGTGACTTGATGACCGAGCAGTGGCGGGAGGCCGACCTGGGGGCCTGAGTGGGAGGAGAGGGCTCCCCCAGCAGGAGTGGAGGGCCCAGCAAAAGGAGGATAAGATCAGGGCTGCTGCCTCTGACCCTCTGGGCGACCTCGCAGACTGTAAGAGACACATGGAACTGAGGCTGCTCTCAAAGGTGAGGCAGAGTCCCATCTGCTTAGATGGTGATTTAAGCCAGACCGATAGAAGATGGCCCCTGAAGAATAAGACAGTGGAGAAGGAATGTCTTAGGACTTCTGGCTGCCTCTGGTTGGCATGTTTTGGGGGAAGCAGTTCTTCAGCTTTAGGACTTTTTCACCCATCTCTTCCCCAAATCTGGCACTTCTTAGGGAGATTCTCATGCATGATGTAGTTGACTAAACATCCATGTAGTGTTCTGCTAAGATCAGACGCTGGAATCTTGCCCTAGAGCAGACTGGTTAGAGTGACTTTTTCTGCTTTGCTTTCTAGAAATCTGCGAGAATGTATTCTGTTTCATTGTATGTGAATCATGATTTTAACTTGTTATTGTTTCTTGTGTTTAGATGAGACCTGCCAGAGCCAAATTTGACTTTAAAGCTCAGACGCTAAAGTAAGTGCCGCCAGTCCTTTTCTGGTTTGTCTTCTTAGCCACTGCTTTGGAACACAGCGGGTTGTTTGTAGAAAAAAAGTTGGAGCCGGCGCCGCGGCTCACTAGGCTAATCCTCCGCCTTGCGGCGCCGGCACACCGGGTTCTAGTCCCGGTTGGGGCGCCGGATTCTGTCCCGGTTGCCCCTCTTCCAGGCCAGCTCTCTGCTGTGGCCAGGGAGTGCAGTGGAGGATGGCCCAGGTGCTTGGGCCCTGCACCCCATGGGAGACCAGGAAAAGCACCTGGCTCCTGGCTCCTGCCATCGGATCAGCGCGGTGCACCGGCCGCGGCGGCCATTGGAGGGTGAACCAACGGCAAAGGAAGACCTTTCTCTCTGTCTCTCTCTCTCACTGTCCACTCTGCCTGTCAAAAAAAAAAAAAAAAAGAAAAGAAAAAAAAAAGAAAAAAAGTTGGAGAAATAACAGCAATGATTAAAAATGAAAGAAGCCAGTAGTTTATAGAGGTTGCTATGTGCCGAGCACTGTTGCAAGTACTTTGTGTATGTTAACTCATTGAACCCTGCTGTAACTCTGTGGGGTGGGTTTGGTTACTATCCACACTGTACGAGCGAGGAAACCCAGGGACTGCAAGGTGGATGAACTTCCTCAAGCTGGTAAGTGATGGGGTTGGGATTCAAACCCAGGCAGCCTAGCACCAGAGGCTTGGCTTTTATACACTGTGCTCCTTTGCTTCCATATATGTACATATACATATACATATGCATATACATATGTGTGGGCTTGGTGTGCTTCAGTGGAAGCTCAATTTGACCCACTCACTCTGTGGAAGGAATCAGAACCAGGCTCTGGGAAGATAACTTCCCCAGTTTTGCTATAGCATCCCAAGGACTTACACTGAGACCCATAGGAAGGAGACTAGCATGTCTCAGATGCTAGCCCTGTAAGATTTTCCTCAAAAAGGGAGTTCTGTTGTGGAAATGGGTTGCAGAACCGCTGTATCTGTTCCTCCCACCCTTCTTGCTATTGGCACATTAATGACTCAGGGAACCTTTCAAGGAAGAAGCCTGATTAACTTATTTAGCCCAGCATTTTCTAATTTTATATTTTCCATGGAATACAATTTGGGGAATGCTACCACGACTGGGTTCCAAAAGCAGTCTGCTAACTTTATGTCTAATTATGGACTAAAAATGAGCCAGAAGTTTTCATTGGCAGCCGAAAATGCAGTGATGGGATGGGATGGAATGGAGGGAGGAGATGGAGAGAGATGTTGAGGGTGCTGTGTGGAGGCCAGTCTGTTTTGGTTCTGACCCTCTCCCATACAGAATAAGTGGCAAGGCCATGGTTTCCAGAACACAAGCATACATGTGGTACAGTCAGATTTGCTTGTGTTACTTTGTAGCTATTAAAGGTAGATGTGCAATATACTACAAAGATCGCAGGTTTTGGGATATTCTTTAAAAAAGCAGATTGATTTATTTATTTGAAAGGCAGAGTTACAGAGAGGCAGAGAGAGAAAGAGTTCTTCCATCTACTGGTTCACTCCCCAAATGGCTGCAGCAGCCAGAGCTGGGCCAATCCAAAGCCAGGGGCCAGGAGCTTCTTTCAGGTGCAGGTGCAGGGGCCCAAGGACTTGGATCATCCTCCACTGCTTTCCCAGGCCATAGCAGAGAGCTGGATCAGAAGTGGAGCAGCCGGGTCTTGAACCAGCGCCCATATGGGATGCCAGCACTGCAGGCAGCGGCTTTACCCACTACGCCACAGCGTCAGCCCTAGGATATTCTTTACTTATTTGTTTTTAGTTATGTGAAAGGCAGAGAGACAGAAGAAGAAACAGAGAGAGAGATCTCTCATTTGCTGGTTCATTCTTCAATTGCCTGCAACAGCCAGGTCTGGGCCAGGCTGAAGCCAGGATCCAGGGATGCAGTCCAGGTCTTCCACATAGGAGGCAGGAAACCAAGTACTTGAGCCATTACCTGCTGCTCTCAGGGTGTGCATTAGCTGGAGCAGAGCTGAGACATGAACCCAGGCACCCTGACACAGGCATCCCAAGATTGTGGTTTTGAGAGTCAGCAAGTCCTGGTTTCAGATCCCAGCTATGTCACTTATTGTCTCTGTAACTGTTGTCACATTATCATCCTCTCCCACCCCTCTTTTTCCTCATCTGTAAGATGGGCTTAAAATGCCTACCTGTGGAGAAGCTGGTGTAATACCTGTGAATCATTTTGCACAGTGCAGCAAAAGTCGGTACTCAAAGTATGTCACCTTTCCATGTGCTTTACCAGAGAGAGACAACAGAGGCAGAAAAATTCATCTGCAGTTTAGTGAAGTGGATTCCTTTTATGTTTGAATTGAGCGAGGCTCATAGAAGACTCAAGAAATGGCTTAATGATAATACATTTTCCTAGATTTCATTTAAAAGCCTCGAAAAGATTTTTTTCTTTAGAAAAACCCCATCCAGTGTAACAGGTGAGAAGGCTGAGATCCACAGAAATTGTCCCCATTTAGCAAGACTTCCGGTGTGGGAGAGATGACTCCTTCTTCTGACTCAGTGTTGTCATCATGGCCTGCTGCCTCCAAAAAGAATTCAAGAAAACTTGATAAAAAGAATAAATGTCTCAGGCCGGCGCCGCGGCTCACTAGGCTAATCCTCCACCTTGCGGCGCAGGCACACCGGGTTCTAGTCCCAGTCGGGGCACCGGATTCTGTCCTGGTTGCCCCTTTTCCAGGCCAGCTCTCTGCTGTGGCCAGGGAGTGCAGTGGAGGATGGCCCAAGTGCTTGGGCCCTGCACCCCATGGGAGACCAGGATAAGTACCTGGCTCCTGCCATCGGATCAGCGCGGTGCGCTGGCCGCAGCACGCTGGCCGCGGCGGCCATTGGAGGGTGAACCAACGGCAAAAGGAAGACCTTTCTCTCTGTCTCTCTCTCTCTCACTGTCTACTCTGCCTGTCAAAAAATAAAAATAAATAAATAAATAAAAAATAAATGTCTCATACATAGAGAGTCTTGGAAGCCCTCTAGTCCCTGGGTTTTACATGTCCCTGAAGTGTGTGCCTCGAAAAAGTTTGCTCACCACTCAATGAGCCACGCCTCGTTCCCCTTGGACTTCACAGAGCCCGTGTTGTGCCAGGGCACACAGCAACGCTCCAGATTTGGAGGGTATCACACCATTGTTTCCCAAAGCTTTTCACCACCACACTTGGTCATGGGGCTCTTGGGGAGCTGAGGGTGTGAGCCACAGGATGGCGGGACGGTAGCCCCAGGCAGGCATCTCCAGTCCTCTCACGGGAGTCGTCCTCCTCCCTTGCTTAGCAGTGAGAGGAGCATTCCAGCTTCCTGCCGCCCGACACTCAGGGTGGCAGAGTTGGAGGCCTGCAGAGCTCCAGCAGGGGTGGATGTGATCAGGACCTCACTGTGTGCCCAGGGTCCAGAAGACCTCCAGGGAGGGCTCTGGCCGGAGACATCTGTCTTACTGAGACAGAGGCTGCCTCCCTGGGCCTTTAGGGTGGAATCCTGTTCACCAGTGTGAGGCCCCACCAGGCCGCCCGTACTTTTGTTCAGCACGGCACTGACTTCGTGTGAAGTTTTCCAGATGCCCCGTCATTGTTCAGCCAGCATCCTTGACGCACCGTGGGACTTCCTGGCACCCAGGGCGGTGGGCATGCCCTTCCAAAGTACAATCAGAGGCCCTTCTCCCCGTGCTGTTGGCTGGACACAATGGAAAGATCTGGGTCATGTTTGGGTAGTTGTTCAAGAAAATTTCAAGTAACAGTTTTTGTCCTTTTAGGTTTTTGTTTTGTTTATAATTTGTCTTTTTGTCTCATTGTTAAGGAGTCCTAATTAGATGCTAGCATCATTACGGAGGCAGGCATAGGAATGAGTGTGGAAAAATTGAAAACAGGCACTAAGAGCATTTGAAAGAAACTTTTCTCTCACAGATCCCTTTTTCATGTTGAAAAGGGAGGGGATTAATCTTTATGGGGCATTAACTAGGTAATAGGCACAGCGTTGGGTGTTTTATTTGCAGTTTGTAGCTGCGTTCTCTAATAACTCCGCATTAGTGGCTGTGTTCAGGTAAAGAAACAGTGTCTCCGGGGAATCCAGGATCTTGCCCAGGGTCTCAGAGCTGCTCCCCTGGAGGACCGAGTTTTGAACCCAGAGACTCCTAACTTCAGAGCCTTCCTACCACATGATAAAGGGTGGATGGCCAAGTGGGTGGGTGGACAGAGGGCTAAATGGTTGGAATGATGGGACTATGGAAACATCACAGACAGCCTGAGGGCAGTTTAGGGCAGCGAAGGCACGGCTTGCCAGGGCCTAGGAAAGGCCGTGTTGGCAGTGGAGGCTTCCAGAAGCATTGTTCCTCATGTAACACACGATGGCTAAGGCCGCTGGGTGCTTCTCTGTGCATTGTGCAAATATTCTGAATACAACATTCGCAAGAAATGCCCATTGAGAAAGCCACAACAGACTCATAAGGTGCCAGGCGCTTTCCCACGCTCCTCAGCAGGAAGGCTAACACCCATCCCACAAAGGGCTGGAGAAAACGCCAATGCGATGAGCTCTGAAGAGTGGGGCTCTCATTGCCAAATACCGCCCCCCCCCCGCGTCTCCTCTGTCCTCCATCCCCTCTGGCCCCACTGGAAGCATCTGGGTCTTAGTGTGGAAACACCTGCTGAAAACGCTGTGCCCTCTGTCAACAGGGAGCTTCCTCTGCAGAAGGGGGACATCGTTTACATTTATAAGCAGATCGACCAGAACTGGTACGAAGGGGAGCACCACGGCCGGGTGGGGATCTTCCCACGCACCTACGTCGAGGTACCGCAGCCCCCTTTCTGCCTAAGGAAGTGCCTGGCCGCCACCCAAGCACCACTTACTGACCCAGGACTCGTGTTTTGTCTCCTCCTCTCATTTCCCCGCTTTCTCTTGCCTGTTCCCGTCTTCCCTGTCTTCCTTCCTCAGCTCCTTCCTCCCGCTGAGAAGGCTCAGCCCAAAAAGTTGACGCCGGTGCAGGTTTTGGAATATGGAGAAGCCATTGCCAAGTTCAACTTTAATGGTGATACGCAAGTGGAGATGTCCTTCAGAAAGGTAGGGGACTCTCCTTGGCCCCTGCCCTGGGTGAGGACAGGGTGCTGCGGGGCCCCGCCAGCCCGTGGTGCTGTCTGTCCCCTTAAGAGGGGTCTGCCAATCAATAGTTGCATTAAGAGCAGTTGGAGGGTGTTCCCAGGTGGGGCATTTTTTAAAAAATAGACACTAGGCTCCTGTCAAGGTTGCACTCCATTGAGTTCAATGATTAAAAGCAGTATTTCCAGAGTCCTGGACACCTTGTATAAATAAATATTCAGCCCACATTTGGAGAGCGCCTACAGATGTGATGAGCACTGTGGTTTTACTGTGCATTGTTGTGGCCCAAAGGGGGGAAAAAAACCAGTGATATGAGGAGAAATTTACAAAGCTTTGAAGCCAGAAGTCATGGGTTATCAGCTCTGGAGCAGGTGGGAAGTTAAATGCTTTTTTCCAAGCCACCGCTTCCTCACATTGAAAAATGAAAATAGATGGCCCTCTCCTGGGGTAGCCATAGAGGATTCGCATGTGAAGGCCCCAGCACAGACACGTGCACCTGGTTTGGTGCTCAGTGAGTGAAGACGCCATGACCTCGCCGTCATTCCTGCTGGGTGGTAAGCTCAGCAGCTTGCTCCCAACACACCTAGACCAAGCAGGGATACTCTTCTTTCCATTTGTCCAAATTGCTGAAGTTATTAGAGGAACTGATGCTACTGAGGGTTCAGGGAAGCAAGCACATGCCTTGGAAACACGTGAGCCCCTTAAATAAAAGAGAAACTCTGGAGGCAACCTGATTGCCCAAGAACAGGAAGATCACTAATTAAATCTTTACGCGAGTGTCCAGTAGAACACCCTAGAGTGTCCATTAAACTGTGCAGCAGCATTAAAAAGCATAGAATTATATTCCTTATTAAAGAAGAAGGTTCACTTGATGGTGTTAGATATAAAACAAACAGGCTGGAAAAGGGAAATACAGTCCACCTCTGTTTTCATAAGAAAGAGACAGGCACAAGTCTAATCCACATGTATGGGATTAAATCTGGAAAGTATAGATTCTGAATATTTACATTGGTTACCTCCAAGTGACTACAGGATGGACAATGGTTGTTTTCTGCTTCGTGTTTCTGTTCTCAGTTTTCTATCATGGCACATGAGAAAATAAGATTATAAAAACAAAGACAAAAGATAGCCTCCCGGGGCCTGTGCCTTGGGGATGGAGATGGGATTTGTGTCTGTTTTGCTTTAAATGAGTGAAAAAACACTCACTTGTGCCTTCCAGGATACAGGCACGAGTCTGATCTTCTTTATGGAAATATTTAAAGACCAAGCCTAACTTCACAGCAGCCAGGCAGCTCCCTGGCTGTTGGCAGCCTTGCCCAGCAATGTGAAATCTGGCCAGGTCCAGCAGGGAAGTCTCTCCAGAGACTTGGATATGGTGGATGACGCAGGGCAGGGCAGCGCCAAGCACAGGCTGGGGCCCCTGGTGTGCTGAGTGTGGAGGGACGAGAACCCTTGGGTTGTTGTGTCTTGCAGGGTGAGAGGATCACGCTGCTTCGACAGGTGGATGAGAACTGGTACGAAGGGAGGATCCCGGGGACGTCCCGACAAGGCATCTTCCCCGTCACCTACGTGGACGTGATCAAACGGCCACTGGTGAAGAACCCGGTGGATTACATTGACCTGCCTTACTCCTCCTCCCCGAGTCGCAGTGCCACTGCGAGCCCACAGGTACCCAAGCTGGTCGCTGTTTTCAGCTTCAGCCGTGCTGACGGCGCATAGCTCCTCTGGGGTGGTTCTTGATTGGGAACTGTCGGCAGCAATGCAGACTGCACACACACATTGGTGTTCCTGTATCTAAACGGCATTTTGCCAGCATTTGGTGGGAGTAATGGGAAGCATTTGAGGTAGTTGCCTGGGGAGAAAGTGGTGCCCCTTGGCTGAAGCTGGTGGTGTGGTAACCGGCTCTCTGTCGTACATCCCACGGCCCAGTGTGGTCCTCTCCGTCATTTTGTTGGCCAAGGCTGGCTTGCAGAAGACAAAGGTTGAGTTTCATGTTCTCATCCTCAGACCTGTAGACCGCATCCAAAGCATTTTTGCTAACACTCACTGGAACCGAGTTAGGACAGGAGCTTGGAGCTTCTTGGTCTACACTAGGTTGTTAGGAAGTAGCTGTATAGGCACGAGTTGTTTGCCTCCCTGAACATTAGTTATGAATGGACTTGTTTAAAAATAGAAGCTATTCCACACCCACCTCTGCTGCTCTGGTGAGAGCCTTGGGTTCAGGAGATGCATGTGGGGTGACCCCTGTGACATACATTGAACATTGTGCTAGATGAGCTGTAGGGGAGACCAGGAAGCAAGAGCAGGACACGGGGACCCAGGATGACATGGACACAGCACCTCTTTTCTCTCGTCCTCAAATCGCTTCCTGCTGCCGCACCTGCTCATCCCTGACCCCTGTAAAAAGCATCGGACAGCTGACCTGGGCATCCTGCACAGTGAGGTCCATGTCCCATCATCTCCTGGGGGAGGGCGTGAAGTCGGCGCAGGGCGGCCTGGAGCACTCAGCTGGAGATTTCACTCAGCTGTAGTCAGCCGTGGTCATAAAACAAAATGACTGCTCTTCTCCCGCTTTTCTGGAAGGGCCATCTTTCCTTCCCCCGGGTTCCAGGCTGGGCTCTGGGTGGGAGCTCCTTCCGTGTCCCTTTGAAAGTCGGATTCTGCAAAGCGGGCCAGCCTCGTCTGGTGGGCCCTGATGAGAACCTCTGTCCCGTCTCCACATCACTTGCCTCTCCCCTCCCCCTGCACGTGCACCCGCTCACGCTCCAGACCTGACCCAGTGACTTCCCTGGCGACACCAGCGTGTCCCGCTCATCCTCTGCATTTCATTCTTCTTTTTAGACGCCCTGGTGACTATTTTCCTTCTTTCTTCTTGAAGCTGACACTTGTACCTTTTGCTTCTTTGTTTTGTCTCTCTCTCCTTTTCTTTTTAAGTTTCCTAGTCACAGCAAGCTCATCCTGCCAGCCCCCTCATCTCTGCCCCACCCCCGCCGAGCCCTGTCCCCTGAGATGCACGCCATCACCTCGGAGTGGATCTCGCTGACTGTAGGGGTCCCAGGCAGACGTCCTCTGGCCCTGACTCCACCCTTGCCGCCTCTGCCTGAGGCTTCTGTCTTTCGCGCTGACCCCCTTGCCCTGTCAGCGAGGGCTCGTCCCTCCCTGACCCTTGGCCTCCCCCATTCAAGTCGGTCAGATGGCTCCACCATACGCTCGACCATCTCCCCTCTGGCCCTGCCGCCCCCCGACAGAGCCTACTCTCCGGCGCCCAGTGTACTGGCTCCGCTTCACGTCAACGGAGCCGGTGGTGTTCACGTGTCACCTTCCGGCATCCACCAAGATAGCTTCTCCCAGCTGCCGCTCGGGCGCTCTGATAGGGTCATCTCGGAGCTTAGCGATGCCTTTAGCAGCCAGAGCAAGAGGCAACCGTGGCGAGAAGAGAACGGCCACTATGAAAGGAAAGCAGAGAGGGAGGCGGGTGAGAGAGGCCCTGGTGGACCCGCCATCTCTAAGAAGAGCTGCCTGAAACCTTCCGACGTGGTCAGGTGCCTGAGTACTGAACAGAGACTCCCAGATCTCCGCAGCCCTGAGGAGAGCCGGCCCAGCAAGCCTCTGGGCAGCCCTTTTCCAGGAAGGGAGGCTGGGCAGACAGAGCTGCGTAGAGGTGGCAAGCAGGCTGGGAGGAGAGCTGCTCAGAGTGGTGTGAGCCAGGTAGGCCTGCAGCATGACCGCGTGTGCCCTTGGCATCTCACCTGGCCGGGCGGGCTGGACGGCTCAGCCGCAGTCCCTCTGCCGAGGCCCAGCAGATGCCTGCGGGACCCATTTGCTTGCCTTGGGAGCGAAGAGATGGCCCCGGATGGGGTGGCGGGCGCGTCGGTTAAGGTGTAGGGCTGGGGACAGTTGGAGGGAAAGGGCAGGCTGCACTCCCGCCTCTTGAGCTGGCTCCACTCTGAGGGCCTCGTGGTCTGGTACAGAAGCCACGAGAAGCCAGGCCTCCCCCGCGGCCCGGTCTGCTCTGACTAACAGCTGAGAACACCAGGCTTTGCTGCGGTGTGCTGTGGTTTTCCTGTGAGCTGCACTTTGTTTCCATAACCTATGGCTCTGCTAGTGCTCGGTTTCGTCAGGTCTCCGTCCTGTCTCGTGTCTGTGTGGGAATTCGGGGCCCTTGTTCATAACAAACAGAGTGAGTGACGTTTGGGGAGCACACAGGCCTCCGGCTTGCAGTCATCCAGCGGGCTACAAAGATTTCAGGGTTTGGAACCAAGGTGCCTATAGGGTAGGTTTCTTTGTTTTGTTTTTAAATTTTTCAGTTAATTTATTTGAAAGGCAGAGAGACAAATCGTCCATCTACTGAGTCATTCCAATGGTTGGGCCAAGCCAAAACGAGGAGCTGGGAACTCAGTTTGGGTCTTCTGTACAGATAGCAGGGACCCAACCACTTGAGCCATCACCTGCAACCTCCCAGGGCACACATTAGCAGGAAGCTGGAATTGGGAGCAAGACCAGGGCTTGAATCCAGGCAGTCCAACGTGGGACAAGCAGTGTGTTGACCTCTAGGCCAAAAACCACCTCATTATAGGATGTTTTGAGGGCTGAAAAGTTTGAGAGGGGACATGAGCTTGGCAACTAGATAGATCGTGGTTCTGATTGGGCTACGCTGGTGCTACCCTGTAAGTCAGACTTCAGACCTCTTCTTGGATGTAACCAAGTTTGAATGGCAGCCCTCCCTTTTGCCTTCTGGTAACTTGGGAATTACTTAGTCTCCCTCGGACTCGGGTTCCTCATCTGTAAAATGGAAGTGAGGACACCTGCCTCATAGAGTTGAGAAGATTCCTTGGAATGACGTGTGTGGAGTGCTGAGCACAAGGACGGGGCACATGACCAGCACTTCGTAGAGGGAAGCTGTAGGGCCACCATCTTGCATGAACTGCTTCTAGAGCAGAGAATGTTCTAGAACCTTCTTAGACCCAGTTAGACTTCCTGAAGAGGACTGCACACCATTCATTAAGTACTTAGTGTGTGTGTGCCATGTACAATAGTAAACTGCGCCCAGCCCTCAGACCTGCAGTCCCAGGTTCCCTTTGGAGCTTCATTCAATCCGTCTATGGAATTTAAGACCTACAGGGACCAGCCTCTGGGCAGTGTCCTCTCGAGGGGCCTGTGTGGTGAGGCTGCAGGCATAGCAGTATCACCAGGACAGATGAAGAGGAAGGCTTGGAAGCCACACAAGCACCGAGGCCTCTGAGACACACTGGGCCAGACCTGCAGCTCAGCCTGACGCATGGGGCCCACAGGCCAGCATGTCAGGAGCGGGGCTCCTGGGGGCAGGCACAGGGTGGGATAAGAAGTCATACTTGACTTGTCACCAGCAGGCTGCTTAAGCTCCCAAGCCACAGTTTTCTCATACGCAGAGTAGAAATGAAAACAGTACCTTTCTCCCAGGATGGTGCAAAGACTCAACTAGGTGGTCCACGTAAGTGGGGTGTGTGTCATGTGGTCAGGCTCCACGCAGTGGGGGCTTCCCACCGCTGTCACTGCAGCTTATCTCCCGGGTCCTTGTGTGGGGCTGCGGGGAGACAGCCATACCCAACGAAGGCTTTGCCTGGCCCAGAACAACTGCTCCTGGAATGCGTGTTCTTGGAGGAGGAAGAGGGTGTGTCTGCTGAAGCGTAGTTTGTTGGGAGAGCTGGTTGATTGGCTAGTGGAAAAGCATTCAGTGTCTCTGACGCAAGAACAGTTCTGTGAATGTTCTAAGTCAACCGCAGGTGCCTGGAGCCCTCCTTCTTGCCAGTGCTGAGTCATCGCCAAGGCCTGATTCCAGGATCCCGTGTGTACAGGAAGTACGCATGGTGCCTGGGTCCCCAGCGAGGTTAGGGGTACAAACTTCCTGCTTCCTAGCCGAGGACAGGAGCGGAGTGGCTGGCAGTGCTGGAGATTGTGTTGATTGGGTGGCTGAGCTTGTTGACAGCTCAATTTCCTTTTGTGAGGGCCTCCAGACTCCAGATGTACCACTTCCCGTCTACTCCCTTCCTCCTGCTGTCCCAGCACCAGCCCTGTTTGAAATGGGCAGTGGGCTTGGTGTGGAAAGGGCTGCACATCCCCATCAGTCACCCGCACTCTTCCATCCTGTAGCAGCTTTGGGTCCTTCAGAAGGGGCTCCTGCACCCAGGCTCCCTTTGGTTGACATACTGAAGGTGGAGAGGACTTAGTATGTGGCAGCCCCATCAGAGCATGACCTCAGGCTGGCTCACTTATTTGGGTATTTGCATTCCAAACCAGTTTTTATACCAAGAAAATCACCAACCGTTATTCTCTTTGTGGAACCAAAGAGGTCAATTTTATTCTAGATTTTAGGGACCTAGGCTGAGAATCTGTCAATTAAGAGGGAAAATTTTACCCAAGAGCCTTAAATGAAGACATTCTGAAATGTTAGGACCATTTACTCTCTTCCAGGCATCTAGAACATTCCAGGCACTGTGCTAAGTGCTACTGTAGACAGAGGAGGATGAACATCACCTTGGACTTCCCAGTGGTTTCAGAAAGATAACTCCCTTCCTGGGTGGGCTTAGGAGGCCCCATGCGATCTGGCCATTTGGACATCTAGGTGTCCTCATCTTCTAGAACTACCCCTGCTTGTTTACTAGGATAATTCCTACCTTTTCCATACTTCTCCACTGAGATGTTACCTCTTCCAAAGGAAGCCTTTCCTGCCAACCTCACTCTGCCCTTGCAAGACTGGGTCACGTGCTCTGACTTTGTGCTGCCCTGGCCCCTGCACCTGACCTGTGCAAGCAGTCCTTTGTTGTATTTGCTCTTTGCTTTTCTGTGTACCCATTAGAATGTTAACACCCTAAGGTTGGGGACTGTGCCATCTGGTATATGGAAAGTGCTCAGTAAATATTTGTTCAATTAAAGAAATAACAAAAAAATGACCTCCATTGGGGAGTGAGACATGCTCACAGATAATTATCATGCAGGCAGGGAAAGAGAGTCCCCGAGGAGTCCACTCCAGACAAACAGTAAGCAACAGGAAGCAGAAAGTGGTTGTGTGGAAAGACTTCGTGAGACAATGTGGCATTCGCTCTGGGCCTGAAAGAATAAGGAGTTTCCAGTAGGCGTGCAGCAAGGGAGTGGCATTTAAATGAATAGCTGGGGTAGAGGCTCCGCAGTAGGAGCTGAAAGGGGTGTGTGTGTGTGTGTGTGTGTGTGTGGAGAATGGTGCATTCCTGGTTTGGGTGAGGTTCAGGTCTGCACAGGTGAGTAGAAGGGAGAGGAATCCGGAGAGCTTGGAGCTCAGCAGCGCCACCTAACTGGGAGGTAGCACCATCTCTACCCAGGCACAGTGACACTCTGCTGCTTCCCTTCCCCTGCTGCAGGTCTGCACATTTTAAACTTCCTGTAAAATAACCTGGCGCTTCACTCCCAAGCTGGTTTCACATGGGTTGGTTGCTTGTGATTTCAGATGTGCGTTTTCTCTGACCAGCAGAACGGGCTCAATAAAGCACAAGGGTCTTGAGGGGAAACCAGGTTGGGGTGCAAAGACCACTGGATCGAAAACCAGAGTCCCTGGATGAGTCACTTCTTTTTCCTGGCAGCTTCCCTGTTGATAAACAAAGCATTCAGACAAGAGAAGCTCTTTTTAGCTTTGATATTCCATGACGAGGTGACATCCTGTATGAATTTCCATTGAAATGAGGAAGGAGAGCACACACAAAATTTTAGGTATAGGGGTTTGTTACTAGGCCTGCAACCTTCACAATGGATAAATGAAAGTTTTTCCTTCTGTTTTTTGAGGGACAACTTAACTAATTCAGTACAAACACAAAACACCCAAGAGTTCAGAATTTTCAGCCACACTGTTAGATTTTGTTGGGTATAACTTTGGCCAATAAGATTTAGAACAATCAACCAAGAAAGTGACAGGAAAGAACATATTGGAGGTCTCCTTTATGAGCATCATCAACTATTTCCTGAGTTTCCACTAGATAGAAACAGAAGAAAGGTATCCAGCCTTGGTTTTCTGAGTTCTTTCAGAATTTCTGAATTAAAAAGAATCTGACCCAGTGACTCATCATTTTTTCTGGATCACAGAATTTTTAAAACGGAGCAGCTGAGGCCTTTAGGGTGGTGTTTTGGGGGAGGGGCTGACACACACACACAATTTTGCATGAAGTTTCCAGGGACTCACACCCAGGGCCGTCTGAGAGCTTCTTGGTTCTTTTGTGAACTACCAGGTAAAGAGCCCCCCAAGTTGGGGCCGTGGCATAGCAGGTAGACTCTGCCTGTGGCGCTGGCATCCCATATGAAAGCTGGTTCAAGTCCAGGCTGCTCCACTTCCCATCCAGCTCCTTGCTAATGGCCTGGGTAAAACAGCAGAAGATGGCCCAAGTGCCTGAGCCCCTGCTACCCATGTGGGAGACCTGAAAAAAGCCCCTGGCTCCTGGCTTCTGCCTGGATGAGCCCTGGCCATTGTGGCCATTTGGGGAGTGAACCAGTGGATGGAAGACCTCTGTCTGTCTGTCTGTCTCTATCTCTATCTCTATCTCTATCTCTATCTCTATCTCTCTCGGCCCCCTGCCTCTCCCTCTCTGTAACTCTGACTTTAAATAAATAAATACACACACATATACACACACATATATATATATATATGTATCTTGAAAAAAAGCCCTCCAGCCTAGTTGATGTTTGTGGTGACTTGAGAAGACCAG